AAACAAATAATTACTTTTTTTTCAACTTTGTTAATTTTTTAATTACCTTTTATTTTCAATCAAGATCATCTTTTAGTCTCTTTAACTTCAATTTGAGCAACTTGTTGAGAAGTTAAATTCTTTTTTCAAAAAAAAAATTCAAAAAAAAAACCATACATAAATAATTAGTGTTCGCGTTTTGTTGATCTTTTCAATCAAATTTTGAATTTCTGAAAAAAAAAATTGTACGATTTAGCATATCGAAATTTTAGAAACCAGCTATTCATAACTTAATAAAATTTCTCATTATCAAAAAAATTTAAAGATTTTTATTTTTGAATCTTAATCTTCCAAAAAAAAAAAAAAAAGTTTTATTTGTACTAATTTCACGTAATAAAGTATAATTTAAAAAAATATTCTTGAATAAGAAGATATTACGTTTTTGGCACTATCCCATGCAAATAGACGAAAAATATCAATTTATTTTTATTTTTATATTTTTTATCAATCCTGTACTATAAATACCAACTATTTTTTTTTTCAATTTACTCTAACAACAATAACATGTAAGCTAATTAAATAATTAAATAAAAAAAACTTCTTACTGTGCATTAAGAAAATAATTTAATAATAAATAATATATTGTAACAAAATATATAAATATAATATTTTTTCGTTTCATCCTTAACAATCATTTCTCATCATATAATATAATTCTATTATATATATTATTTATGTATTATGTGTTTCAGTTATTATTTTTATATGCTCAATAAAAAAACCCATATGTTTATTTTCCCGTATTTTTTTCAATGTGAATTATCACCGAAGAATAAATTTGGCACTTTAACTTTGTCTAACCCTAAAAAAACTGGTGCTGCTGGAGTTGGACTACTATTCAGACTCACAACTCGAGTCTCTCCGATGCCTGCATAATGTTTATCCCGGTGCGGACTACATCCAAGATTTGGTAGTCCTTGTTGTATTTGTGGTTCTCCAAACAAATTTCCACTGTCTTCTTTTCGTAAAATTTTTAATTTTTTTAAATTGTATCAAGTAAGTCCGTCTATAAAAAAAACAATAAAATGATCAATTATACTTAAACAAATGCTACAAATAAACTGAACAATATAAAAAGATCAAGGTACCCTCAAGGACCACAAAGGGCCAACGTAATTAAAAAAATTTATTCTATCGTTGTCCCAATTTATCAGGACAATGGACTTATGGGTTCTTTCAAACAAAAGAACACCTGATGCCGGATTTGTCATCCTCCATAGTTTTAAGCGGTTCTCTGCAGAATGAGAAATAATTAAATGTCTACAAATGAAGAATGACGTCACGGAATATCCATATAAAATTTATGAACAATAAATTACCGTATGCATGCAAGAAACAAACTTTAATTTTTGAAAACGTTTCTTGTTTGGCCTTCTCAAATCGACATGATAAATCCTTAAGCATATATATATTACCTACTGCTCCCTTTAGATGATCCCATGCAGCTCTCGGTTTGTCAACATGCCCGTAACCACCGCTTATTTCTAAATGTCCTATTTCAATTAATGATTTTTTGTCTTGCATAAGGAAAATCCCATCTGCTTTTTGTTCGAAGTGAGTTGTAACCTTTTTCCTTTTTCTATAGGATTCAACACACGATAACAATATTTCACCTCTATAAAAGAAAAGAAAAACATCATGAAGAGAACTCCATATTTCTTTATAAATGTAAAACTATCTGTTTCCCGAATAAAATAAAACATACGGTTTATAGATTAATTATAGATGCTGGTCGCAATTCTTGGTGATGGTTGCAACCATATTTGCGACATATAAAAATGGTTTGCGACACCTGGTTGCAACCACCTTTGCGACCACTTTGGTTTCCTTTTTTGGATTGCGACATGGAACACTAAGATCAATGTTTCTTGTAGTCCATGCACAAGTTCTAGTAAACTCAGATTAATCACATAAAGTCCATATGAACTTTCGAATACGTTGTGATGTTGCATAACTGAACCTTCGGGAAACAAATAATAATTACTATAATAATAAGGTAAAAAGATAAAAATTAAATGGAATGGTATAAAAAATATGCGTATCAAAAATATCAAAAATAAGTGAATTCACTATATATTTACAAATTTTCTAGAATTTTTAAAAAGAAAGAGGTCATTGGATCATTCAATAATATCGGTATTTGTGTGAGATTTTTTAAAGCAGAAACAAAAGTATCCAACGAATCCTGTAAACAAAAGATAGTCTAAGTTTAAAAACTTTTTAGTCACTATATAATAAAATAATAGATCGAAAACAATATTGTCATACCAGCACAAGCAAGCCTCTAATTTCAACCAGAAAATGTTTAATTTCATTTCGCGGCAGACAAGCACGTTGTATTTCTTCATAATTCGATTTTGAACACCATTTAGGTGGTGCAATATTCGCACCACATTGGATTACACCCCAGAATTCTAACCTTCATGCATGTTTTAATGTTAATAAAAGGATATACATTTAAACAACTTAATATCAACACAACTTACTTTAATTTGTGGCCCTTCAAATAAAAAATGATCAACAAATATTCCACTGTCTAGCTAAGGCGTCCCTTAGTTAGTATGGTCTTAATTTAAGGTGGGTGCTTTTCAGCTAAGGTTTATCAACGAATTTTATCAAGGATTCAAAGGTTTATTGTAAAAGTGTTATGTGTCTTATTAGCGATAATATATTTGTTACCAGGTAATTATTGTATTATTATTATTATATCATGAACATGATGATTCTTACTTTGTCTAAAACCAAGCTCTTTTACACCTCTTGAGGTATTACAAATAACATGACCTTTACAATATTTTGTCCAATAAAATATGCTTATTAATCCTATTTTCT